TCATTATTATACTTGACTGGTCTGGAGCTACTGTGTAGGCCAGGCAGGCCTCAAGCTCACAGAGCTCAGCAGCCTCTGCCTCCTGAGCCCCAGGATTAAAAGTGTGCACCCTATACCCAGCCACACTCATGTTTATTGTGACACTCTTCACAGTAGTCAAGTTACTGAGTGCCCATCCACAGATGAATGGAGAATGACATGTGACACTTATACACAATGGAATTTTACTCAGCCATCAGGCAGTGAAATGTTTACAGGAAGATAAGTAGAATTGGAGGCCATCGAGCTAAACAAACAAGACAGACTTAGATGATGCTTCATGTTTTCTCTCGTATGCAGAATATAGACTTTTATAAAATATGTGGAAGCAAAAGGGGGATTATTAATAAAGAGGAGGTGACCAATGGGAGAAGGGATGAGAAAGGGCAATTAAGGGTGAATATGTTCAAAGTACATTCTCCAGCACTGCAAAATAAAAAGGAAGGAAGGAAGGGAGGAAAGGAAGGAGGGAGGGAGGGCTGGAGGAAGGGAGGAAGGAAGGAAGGAAAGGCTGATAGAATTTTTAATTAAAAACCACCCCTACTTACGAATTGCAGGAAATGAGTGGACCTGAAATACACAATTTCTTGTATTGAAAATAGCAGTGACGGGGACTGGAGAGATGGCTCAGTGGTGAAGAACACTGACTACTCTTCCAGAGGACAGGGTTTGATTTCTAGCACCCACATGGTGGCTGACAACTGATTGTAACTCCAGTTCCAGAGGATCTGACGCTCTCTCCTGGCCTCTTTGGGCAATGCATATATAGTACACAGACATACATGCAGACATAACACTTAAAAACTCAAAATAAAAAGAAATAAATCTTTTTCAAAAAGAAAAACAGCAGGGAAGTGTGTGTCAGTTTAGCATTCCTCCTCTTGTTGTATCTCGGGGACTTGCCTTGCTACCTAACACAGAGCACAGCTATTGCCCATGAGGCATCTAGGCAGTGTTGGGGTCACAGGCCCATCTAGAACCCCATAGTCTAACTTTAACATACACTTTTCTCTACACTCCTTAACTCTGACAGCCATCATTAGGTCATTGGTTTATAAAAGAACATGAATATTCTCAGTGCCTGAGAATATATGCTCCAAACACAGGCTTTAACCGATAGTCCAAAGCAATAAAGTATCTCAAAGTAAAGCTATCTGCCTACTCAGGGAAAGCGGGGAGGAAGGGAAACTGGAAAATATAGAATAGAAAATGTGAAAACTACATACGCTCATTTCTTAAACTCAGATCCTGCCTCAGTTTCTTTACTATTGATGTAGTAAGATAATATGACCAAGGACACTTATAAAAGATAGAATTTCCCAGCACTCAGGAGGCAGAGGCAGGCAGATCTCTGTGAGTTCAAGGCTGGGCTGGACCGACTGCCTCCAAAACAATACAGAGAAACCCTGTCTCGTAAAACCAAAAAAAAAAAAGATAGAATTTAATTGGGCTTATGATCCCAGAGGGTTAAGCTCTGTGATAGCAGAGTGAAGTCATGGCAGCAGGCAGCTGGAGAGTCGGCTGAGAGCTCACATCTTGATCCACAAGCAGAAGGCAGAGAGAGCCAACTGGGAATGGCAAGTCTTCTGAAACCTCAAAGCCACCCCAGTGACACACAGAAGTTAAGAACACGTGCTGCTCTTCCAGAGGACATGGGCTGAATTCCCAGCACCCACATAATGATTCACAACCATTTGTATTGTATTTTAGAGAATCTGATGCCCTTTTCTGACTTCTGGTACCAGCCATACATGTGATCAAAACACTCATAAAAATACATTGATTTTTAAAGAGGATATACTTTGATTGTCCACTGGAGCATGATTTCCTAGACCAGTGCTTCTCATCCTTCCTAGTTGTGGTGATCTCTGATCATAAAATACTTCATTGCTACTTCATACCAGTTATGAGTCATAATGTAAATACCTGACATGTGATCCCTGTGAAAGGGTCGTTTGACCACAAGGGCTCATGACTCACAGCTTGAAAACCACTGTCCTGGATCTTTTCAATAAACCTTTGCCACCAACCTGTAAGACAGTCACAGGAGACATTCTTTAGTTTTACATGTCAGGGTTTTTTATCTTTTTTAGTTTTATATTAAATTTTATAAATTAACTAACATGAAAGAGGCAGGTCTTCTCAGTTTAATCAATTCAAGAATACGAGTTTCTGTCAGGTATGGTGGCATGCACCTTGAATCCCAGCACTCAGGAGGCAGAGGAAGGAAGATCTCTGTGAGTCTGAGGACAGCCTGCTCTACAGAGTGAGTTCCAGAACAGCCAAGGCTACACAGTGAGACCTCATCTCAAAAGAAAAAGAGAGAGTATGAGAATATGTGAATTTGCTTGGTAACAGAGAGTTGCAGAGTAGAAATTGCATCACTGTGGTGCACACAAGCGATAAATATTTCTGAAAAGAATTTGTGGCTGTCACCAGGCATGGTACATAGTAAGATTTTATTTGGAGCAGCAAGACTTCTAGACAATTAACTGAAAAGATTTGACTTGGGTTTTATGTGTGCATGTACAGAGGGTGTGTGAGTGTGAGTGTGTGTGTGTGTGTGTGTGTGTGCCAAAGACCACCTTTGGGTGTCATCCTTAGAAGTTACCTACCTTGTTTTTTGAGACAGTGCCTTCCTCTGTAGCCCAGGCTGGCCCTGAACTCAACAGCAGTCATCTTGCTTCAGCTCCCAGAGTACTAGAATTACAGGCACTAGCAACATGCCAGGCTTTGAAAATGTTTGTTAACATCTGTTATGTTCCACGTGCCTTACTACTGTGGAGGTAGATATTGTGCAGGGTGAGATAATTAGAGGAAACTGACATTTATCAGGTAAGCATCCCATGAAATACGTGGTGAGGAATGTAAGTTCTGCAGAGCAAAGGGCATGGTTCTGGGAGTGCTGGAGTCTACAGAGACTCCCCCAAAGAAATGACTCTTGAGCAAGCTGGAAAGAGGTGCTCATATTTCCCAGGAATAAAGAGAGCATGTCAAATAAAGACTGTGGCAGGGCTATTAGAGCTTGAAGCACAGACAAGAGAAGGGATGTTTGAATGTATGGTGCCTCATAAGCCACGGTAAAAGCACAGATTTGAGGAATCTGATTCTAAAAGCCATAGAAAGCCCTGGCAAACACTGGTGCTGCTGCAGATGTTCAGGCACGACTCCAGTGACTCCTCACTCACTTCCAACTCTCTGGCTGGTACCTCTGCTCCTCTAGTCTATCTAAAACTGCTATCTATCATTTTGTCCTTCAGCCAAGTTACCGGTTTATTCCTGAAATTCCCTAAATCTATTTCCATGGTGACAAATACACTCATACCTGCTCTTATTTCAGTTCAAGCCCTCAACCTCTGGCCCAGGCTAGTAGAGTAGTCTTCTAGTTGTCTCTACCTTGCCTTTTACCCTCTGCCACCTTTCTCCCCAAATAAGATAACATCCCACACATCCCCTAAGGCCCACTGTGACCTGATAGTGTGGTGTCACACATTTTTTAATCCTTAAAAATAGCCAGATTGCTATACAGTTTGTACAATAAGATTTACTCATTTAAAGTGGAGCACTAAATTATTTTAGCACACGCACAGTTATGCAATCATCACCACACTCCAACATTAGAATGTCTTTGTTGCCCCCCATAGGGCCACACCCATTAGCAGCCACACCCACCCACAAGCTCTCCACAGATTTAGGGAAAAACCAATCGATTTTATTTCCCTACATTTAATGGACATCTCACATAAATGGAATCACAGAGCCTCTGCTCTCGCATGAATATCTCCTTTCAAGACTCATCTGTATTTAGTGTATGTCAACACGTTTTTGTGAGAGCCAGATATTCCATTCTGTGGATAAGTGACACCTGTTTATCCAATCTCAGTCATCTTTAAGTAGCCCTGGAGCTCTGGTTGCTTCTTGGGAATCTGATGCTTAATAGCTTGAGTGGTGTGATGCTACCCATCTCCGTTTCCTATGAGTGCTTAGTGCCTTGAACATGGCACTGTTCATTAATCCTTGATTAGAGTGTGTCAGGGGCAAGGTTAAAGTGGACTGTTGCTCTGCTTAGAGCCAGCATTGATCAGCAGTCTTCCAATGAGGCTCTGCAGAGTAGGAAGGAGTAGACCAGCTTTGCAGTGTGCTGTGATACTTTCCAGTGCTGTACTGTGTTCCTGCAGAGGACAGTGATAATATTCCTTTTAACTTGTGAAATGCTATGGACCTTATTGAGAGTGCAAAAGCAAAGGTGAAAATGTGAGCATATCACTAATAAAGTCTTAGAAGAGCAAAAGGCATCCACCATAGAGCTTGAATAGAACCATTGCTTGTGAATGAGAGACCCATAAGAGGGGACCGAAGGGTGTAAGTGACCTTGACCACACACATGGAGCTGACAGAGTTTGCTGACTGCCTGATTCAAGAGTCTTCTAAAAATAGAAATTCATTCACTCTGGCTTGAAAATTAGCCAGCACTTGAGAAGGATAGACCCTGGGTGGGAAGTGCACAGTCCTTACTGGAGGTGCTTCCTTTCAATCAGAAATCCTGAAATGTGTTAAGTCTCCTTTTAGGGAAGAGAAAAAACTGGAGTCCCAACCACCTCAAAGTAGCAGAGACCTGATGCCCTGGGCTAGACCAGCTCTCCAATAACAAGGCTGACAGTTACCACAAGTATATAGTACTCTCTACTTAATTAAGCACTGCTTTTCTTCTGTCTTGTGTGGTGTGTGTGTGTGTGTGTGTGTTCATTTTCTTGTGTTATCCCCATGACAGCCCTGTGAAGTGTGCTGAACAGATAGACCTCATTCCTCGGATCGGAAAATCAAAATAACACAGCCAGTCAGGAGCAGAACCAAGCAGGGTCTCCTGACTTCTTAGCATGTGTCCTTTCCCATATACCTTGCTACACTATTTAACAGTGCCTGCCTTTTCTGTAAACACATAAAACTGGTTTTCTCCACAGAGCCATGGGGGTGTTGATGTCCAAGCGGCAGACAGTAGAGCAGGTGCAGAAGGTGAGCTTGGCTGTGTCAGCCTTCAAGGATGGGCTACGGGACAGGCCTTCCCTTAGACGTGGGGGTGAGCTACCGGGGTCCCGCCGCGGCACTGTGGAGGGCTCTGTTCAGGAAGTACAGGAAGAAAAAGAAGCGGAGACCAGTGCCCCCATAGTCCAGGAAGAGAGCAGTATCAACCGTGCAGCCTGGGAGCGGCTCCGAGATGGGCGTGGAGTTGAACCCGAGGAGTTTGACAGGACCAGTCGATTCACACCCCCCGCCTTCATCCGACCCACCCGGAAGCTGGATGATGACAAACCTCCAGATATCTGCTTGGATCCCCGGGAGCCTGTGAGTGTTCCATTAAGGCAGGGTTCCCCTACTGTAGACTTTATAAGGACCAAAGAACAGGACAGGGAAAGCTAGGTGTGGTTGAGATGAGACTCAGAACCAGAAGATGAAGTTGAGTTCAGAACAGTCCTTTCCTCACAAGGCAGGCTTAAATGTGTCTCAGTGTAGAGTGCTTACCTTGCATTCTCAAGTTCCTGTGTTCTGTCCCCTGTATCACAAAGGAAACAGTATGTCATATGAATAAGATACTAGGTATAGCTTGAATCCGTCAAAGTGAAAGACTTGGACTTTTGATTGGGAAGCAATGACAACATGATAGATCTTGCACTAACCTATCATCTATGGATCCTCAACCACAGAGGGTACTAACCCTTGTAGGGGACACTTGGGAAATTGAGAAGGGGGAACTGGGGTAAGATTCAATAGCTGGGAGTTTCTTCTGGCATATAGTATCAAGACAGCTGGGGATGTTAAATGTCATATAATGCTTGGGACAATTGCACATATTATTCCCTATGAAATGCTAATCATATCCCTGTTCAGAAACATAATAACAAAGTCCTAAGCAAATAGAAGAGCTTTCTGGTTCTTGTCCACCAAGAACACTCTTACACCTTAGCTGTAGCTCCTGAGAGACCCAGTCCCATGCAGCACACATAGGATCAGGATCTCACTTGTCTGTACTTTCAAATCTATTCATTCCTGCCAGATTGTCAACGATGAGATGTGTGATATCTGCGAGGTCTGGACCGCTGAGAGCCTCTTCCCATGCAGAGTCTGCACCAGGGTTTTCCACGACGGTTGCCTGCGCCGCATGGGCTACCTCCGAGGAGACAGTGCAGCAGAGGTGACAGAGATGGCCCATACAGAAACAGGCTGGAGCTGCTACTACTGTGTGAGTCTGGACTGTGGGACGGCAGGAAAACTTGGCATTCTTTCCAGAGGCCCAGTCTTAAAAATGACTGTTTCTAAGCAGTGACGAGGGGTTTCCTAATAGTGCAAGCAAGGGTCCTAGAACTAGATAATCAGTTCTTTATTATGAGATGTATTATATGGCACTTAAAAAAATGATGTGCCAGTAGCACACAGGCCCAGCTGTAACCCACCAGACCTCGCCAGGTGTGTTCCAGAGGGAGCAAAGCCACCCTTAGCTAAGAGTCGTGGAAAGAACAGGCCTAACGGATGAAAAGTAACTCTGCATAGGGCAGCGCTGGATTCCTGAAAGTCCCTAGTTGTCACTCCTTATACTCACCTGAAGAGCCAAGCTGGTGTCCTGAACAGTGCTCCCAGCAGAGGTAGATTGTGTTGCAGGAAAATGCTCCGTCTTGATGTCCTCACCTGACCAACTGCCTGTTAGGAGCTTTTGTTCTCATCTCTGAAGTGATCCTTATGTGAATTAAATAGCAAAGCTGTATTGATTCAGATCTCTGCAACTATATATATATAAACGTCTCCCAGCTCTTAATGGCAGAAAGAATCTAAGGTTTCCATTGAAAGGCAGGTTCATATCCGCGTGTCTCCAGGCATGAGTAGACTCCCGGCCTTGGCCTCGGGCTGTGCTGTGCTGTCCTACAGATGTCTGCACGACCCTCAGACCCAGTGTAAGGAGCAGCTGGCGACTGTCTTCTTCCGCCTCCTGCAGAAAGCAGACGTGTGCTCCTTTCTGACTCTCCGCCCATGGCTGAGCCATAAAACCAAGTCTGGAAGTGATTTCCAGCTACTGAACTCCTCCCCTCTAGAATACACCACAGAAAACCCTGCTCTCCTGTCTTCTCCATCCTTGCCTCCCTTCCCTTCTCCCCTCCCCCCACATACACATCCGCCGCCTGGTGACACTGCCAGTGTGGGCCTGGGTCAGTCTCTTTGCTGTCTTTTGGGGACGATCTTTCTTCCCAGCTCCGAGAGGATCCTGCCGTCATCATCACCTCTACTGACATTTTACACAGACTTCCTCCAAGTTCATCCCTTTCTTTTCCCTCCTTTCACAATACTTCTTAAACCGTTTCACTGTCTCCTGACTTCCCGCGCCTCCAGCCTGACCTCTGCAGTCAGCACCCTGCCAAAGTGGTTTGTACTGAGGTCATCAGTAATCTCCTAATTGTCAAGTACAATGACCTCTTCCTCAGGTGTCTTCTTAGTCAGCTTTTCTGAATAAAGTATTTAACACTTTCTTATTTCCTTCTCTTTCTCTCGGCATTTATTTTCTAGAATTTATAGAATATATGGAAACTAGAGAAAGTGCTCACAAATAATAAAATCCCACCACACATGTATTACCACTGTTAATATCACTCCTACATCACGCCACACATCACGCCACCGTGTTTGCTTGGCATCCAGCCCTCTCCGTCTCTTCCGGCCTTCTTTGACAATTCTTTCTCAGCTCCCTTGGTTTGTTTCAGTTCTAGGTGCTGTATCCCTCGGGGTTCCGTTGTCTTTCTCACTGGGTTTGCTGTCTTTGGGTGACCTCATCCTATAACCCACTATCTAAACACTAATGGTTCCCATATCTGTGTCCAGACTTAAATTTCCTGTCGGGGGGGGGGGGGGCTTCTCCATCTTGATGTCTCACCAGAATGTTCAGAATGCCCCAAATGAACTCATCTTTCTGCCTAAACCTGCTCTTTCTCCGTTCCTTATCCCTGAATAGCAAATCATTTCCAGTTCCCCATCCCTGCTCTTCCCTGACCCTGACCCTCACAGCCCCTCGCTGCTCTCATGTCTGGGTTTAGATACTCATTTTTTCTTACCATTGCAACAGTCACATAACTGCTCTCCGACCACCAGATTTCTCCCCTCTAATCCATTTTCCTACAGCAGTCAGAGATCTGACCATGACAATCACCCTTCTGTGCCTCCCCGTTGTCCTTAGAACAAAGGCCTAAGATGAGGGACTCAGTCAAGGCCATCTGAGGAGCGTGACAGTTCCTTGCCTTCTCATTTCTCCTTGTACTCCCTTCACACACACATGCACAGCCACACCAAATATCAAATATCACGGTGCTATGCACATACCGTTGTGCCCAGCACACACCAGATGCTCAGTAGGTGTTTATTGAAAAAGTCATGGGATTCTTTGTGGGACTCACAGACAGGTGCTCATGATGTCTGCATCTGCTCTTGGCTGATATTTCTGGAGAAAAGTTAACCAACTAATACAAAGAACTTTCATTCTCTAATTTTTTAATTTTTAATTTACTATTTATTTATTTGGTTTTTTGACACAGGGTTCCTCTTTATAGGCCTGGCTATCCTGAAACTCACTCTGTAGACCAGGCTTGCCTTGCAATCACAGAGATCGACCTGCTTCTGCCTGTCAAGTGCTGGGATTAAAGACTGCACCACCACCACCCTACAAAGAACTTAAACTCAGTAGTTTAAAGACTGCATAGTAATGCTAAAAAAAATAGGGCTCAGTGCTTCCTGGTAATTAAAACTTCTGTGACATCATAAAAATTCATTTTGTTTGGGAACATTTCGAGACCATTCTAAAACCACTTAAAGCCTCACAGACCACTAGAAGCAGGACCGTTTGTTTTTATGACTAAAATGTGCTCTAAGCACAGCCAATGTTTATAAAATAAATATATGCCAAGTGCCTGATGGATGAGGCCAGGATCAACAGTGCCAAGTACTCAGGGTCTCTTTATGCCCTGCAGCAGCTTTGTGAGATACTTCTGTGACATCCCTCCTCACCGGGTAACTAGAAAGCTGGTATTTTGGTGGCGCACACCTTTAATCCCAGCACTCAGCAGGCAGAGGCAGGCAGATATCTGTGAGTCTGAGGCCATCCTGGTTTACAAAGCTACACAGAGAAACCCTAACTCGAAAATTCAGGAGGAGGAGGAGGAGGAGGAGGACAAGGAGGAAGAGGAAGAGAGAGGGGAGGGAGGGAAGAAGGAAGGAAGGAAGGAAGGAAGGAAGGAAGGAAGGAAGGAAGGAAGGATTTTACTAAAGGGACTCAGCCAGAATCAGTATCTGGGTTCCGGGAGGCTTCTTCCCAAATTCAGACAACTCAGAGCAAGCCTTCCCCACTCTGGGGCCTTAGTCTCCTTGACTGTGAGAAGGGCTGGGACCAGGTGATTCTGCCGGTGGAAACAGTTACATGCCTCTTCACCCCAGGCTCCTCACTTGTCACTGACCTGTGTGGCCTCTAACTTCACTTCTACCTTCTCTCAGGACAACCTTAACCTGCTGCTTACGGAGGAGGAGATGTACAGCCTCACAGAGACCTTCCAGCGGTGTAAAGTCATCCCTGGTAAGGCCGGCAGGTGCTGCCGAGAAGGAGGGACCAGCCACATTCCCTTTCATCCTTTCTGGGATAGACGGGTGGAGAGAGCACTGGGATTGGGGAGAAGGCGTGAGTGAGCCCTTGTCCCTGAGTTGTGGTCTTCAGTGGCACCCACTCCCACCACAGCTCCCGAGCTCTCCTGCCTAAGGGAGGCATAACTGACAAGAACGGGGACTGTGGGGACGCTGAGGGTGTCTTGGAGGTGAGTGAAGTTGTCCAAGCTGGGGAAAGGTGGGCGTAGTCAGCAAGGATGCCTCCCACAGATTGCTCCCTGACACTGGAGGACTTCATACGCTACCGCCACCAAGCAGCAAAGCGAGGGGATAGCAACAGGGCTCTGAGTGATGAGCAAGAGGAACAGGCGGCCCGCCAGTTTGCAGCCTTGGACCCTGAACATCGAGGCCACATAGAGTGGTCAGACTTCTTGTCCCATGAATCTGTTCTACTGCTGCAGCAGCTGCGTCCCCAGGTGAGGAGCAGTGGTAATGAATGTCCTTGGGTGACACAGGCCTCAGATGCGTGCTGGATACGTTAGAGGAGCATTGGGAATGGTCTAAACAAAGGCATCAGGAAAGGGTTCCAGTCCATCCAGTGACAGATGACCAGTGGCCAGAGCTGATGAGACTACTGGAGAAGATTGGTTTTCACTGGACTCCCCTAAAAATGTCAGGTGATCAAAAAAGGCTCTGGGAACATCTAAGGAGGGCAGCCGAGGTTAGGCCTTGGGAGTACAATTCTCTGCAGCTCTCAAGATAATTTCACCTTCAAGACCTTAACTTACCTCTTCTTTCCCAGAACTCTCTACTGAGGCTCCTCACTGTCAAGGAGAGGGAACGAGCCCGAGCCACCTTCCTGGCACGGGGCAGTGGGAACGCCATCAGCGAGGCAGAGTGCCACCAGGCCCGGCACTCTTGGTTCTGTAAACGCCTTGCAGAGGCTCCTTCCTGCAGCGTCAGGTCTGCTGCTCATCAGTCCCGCCCCGCTCAGCCCTCCTCCTCTTCCTTTTCCCATCCGGAGGTCTTGGTGTATATAGCATGTACTTCTTTCTCCTGCTATGGGCAGCAGATGCCCCCTGTGAACTCGGGGGAGGACAGCGATTCTGCTGGCAGCGTGTAGGGCGGCCTCTGTCCTAGACTGTGCTGCCCCATGTCTGGGTCCATGGGTTCCCCAGGGTCTGGGAGGGGTGGGTCAGGGCCTTTTGTTGTTCTGCTCCTAACATGTGGTTGTATGTTCTGGTGACTGGCAGCATCAGCCATGTGGGTCCCATAGCAGACAGCAGCCCAGCCGGCAGCAGCAGCAAGAGTGAAGATAAGGTCCCACTGTCCACAGAGCAGGAGTCCAGGTAAGCTGACCCTCCTCCTGGCTGCCACAGCATCCCCTATAAATAAAAGAAGGCGTTGCCACTTCCACCCCCAAAATAGCAAGTGCCCCACCCTAGAAACCAGGCCCCAACAGGATACATTTGACTCCAGGTCTCCAGAAGCTGACCTAGCTTTGCAGCATAGCCCACCCTAAGCATGTCAGTCATGAGGCGAGCTTCCCCGGGTTTCACCTAGCCCAGGGCAGCCTGACACTGGGGTTGCGTCTTGTGGGCCTTCAGGCTCTGTTCCCAGCCTGGCAACCCTGTCCCCTCCCTCTGCAGATGTGTGGACTGGCCCACCTTCCTAAGAGAGAATGTCATCTACATCGTGGCTGCTCGTCCTAACAGTGGAGCGATTCACCTGAAACCCCCAGGATAGTGTGGGGCACAGAAGCTCAGTGCTGGGACGCCCCCCCTCCTCCCCTTCCTCTTCCCTCAACCCATCTCTGGCACTGAGACTCGCGGCATTGGGGGCTCTGCCAGCATCTTAATTTGTCATTAAGTTTTATGGCACTGAAGCCACCGTTCTCCTCAAAACAGAGGCAGTGTGCGTTGCCACACCAACAAGCCCTGAGAGCTGTGGCGTCACTTGCTACTGGACCACCTCCTACCCTCACATTGTAAAGCTACCTGCCACCACATGCATACATATGTGCACATGCACATACAGCCACATACATGCCTAGATACCCATGCCTTCAAACTCCGGGTTCTTTTTTTTTTTTATGAAAAAGGACCACAATCGCTTTGTGAAACCCTGATGTAGATGAGATGGTCCCTCTCGCTCTTTCTATTGGCCAGCTCTGACCTCCAGTAGAAAGAAAGGGGCAGGTCAGCCTCACTTCCCCTCCAGGAGATGCCAAGAGGCCCCTGCCCACACTGAACCCCTTCCGTGATGAGCTACTGTTGCTCGTAAGTGTCTGTGTGTCTCTCAGGTATGTTGTGGTGGGAGAACAGTTAAAAAACATCCCTCAAGTTTGTGTTTAAACTCTTAATTCCTCATGACAGAAAGGAAACTAGCTTGTGGATTTCTGACTGGAAAAGGTGGAGACAGCCTCTCCCAGAGACCCAGAATTCTAGGAACTTTTCAACCAGGTCATCCAACTTCACAAGCCCTTAGCAGACCAGGAAAACCAAGGTGAGACTCCTGGCCCCTATTTGTTGAAAGGTACGGTGTGATCCAAAGCTCTAGGGGCCTGAATGGAACAGATACACTGGCAGGAATCACACCCCTCTGTGGGAGAGGCTTCAACCTGGCTGCCACGGTCAATGGGGCTACAGTCTCATGGGAGAGAAGAGCAAAGTAGGCTTCTCCTGCTTCCCAACCCAGCTGCACCACAAGCACAGAAATGTGGTGTTATACGGAGGGCAAGCCAGCCTCGTACACAGACTGAAGGAGCACTACAGAATCCCTAAGCAGTCATGCTGAAACAGAAAAGAAGACACCACCAAGACTTGAGAAGATTTGTATCTCAACCATCAAGAAGTCCTAGTCAGCGTCCTAAGGGGAAGTCTGTCCTTCTCCCTGTCATGGAGATGTAGCCTCCGCTGCTGCTTCTCCCTGCTGCTCATTTCCTGTCTTACCATCCATGCTAGGAACTGGAGCTAGCCTGAGAGGCTTTGTGGGCAAGCAGAGAGTGTCATAGGTGCACCAAGCTTGGCCTGCAAGCTTTGCCCAGCCCCATAACCAGCTCTGAAGCTCTCAAGTCAGTACATGGTGTGGGTCAACCCTTAGACCTAGGGTCCAGGTTCTGGACATCTGCTTTCATCCTGATGACTTAGGTATGGCCAGTTCTGATGAGGGCTTCTTCGAGCCATGCAGAGACTTGCATTGTCTCCACTGCTGAAAGCACTTTTACTGGAGTGGAAGGTTACAGAAGAATGAGCAAGCATGTCCCTCAGTGTGGAGATGCTCAGGCAGAGTGGGGTCTGCAGCCAGGGCCTTCCCGGAGCCCTGGGTGGTCTCTTCTGGAGGAACTGCCTGTCCAGGAAGCAGGGTGGGAAACTGCTGGAGACAGATTATTTAGAACTGAGGGACACAGATAGGGGATACATGTGGGTTCATTCTGAAACCCACAGCTTTAAAAAGCTACTACCTAAAGCTGGACATGGTGGTACATACCCTTAATCCCAGCACTCAGGGCACAGAGGCAGGTGGGTCTCTATGACTTGAAGGCCAGCTTGTTCTAAATAGTAAGTTACACTAAATTGTAGTTACTTGGTAACTGCAATGAAAACTACTCAGCCGCGTTCGCAGGACTGACCAGTAAGAGGGCCCATTATTCAATCTAGTCAAAAAAGAAAGCCAACAACAAAAAACAAAGCACAAAGCTACTAGGCTTGAGGACTATGTCTGTAGCAGCCAGGCCTGTTTTCCGTTGAGAAGATTAAAGCATGTTAAACACAAGATCTCTTGCTCACTCTCCTGGTGAGTCACCATCTGTCCCTGTGGCTGCTGCACCTCACAAGACATTTTGAGCAGAGCTCATCCCTGGGCTTTGGGAACTGAACAGCGCTTGGCTACCACTCCCCAGCCATGGATACTGGGAATCCATCTTGCTCCATGGTCCTCTACAGATAAAGATGATGCTTGCCACTTTGGAGCTGGGGGGTGTTTGTTTGTTTGTTTTGAGTTTCTTGCCCCTACAGTTGAACGGCAGAAGACCACAGGCCACATCAAGATGCCTGACTCCCAAAACTTGCAAAGCCAGACCCACAGCTCATCCACAGTAGGACCAGACCTACTTGGGATCACCTCCCTATTCAGGAGAGTAGTTTCCCTGGGTGGGGGCCTGGTGCAGAAGGCCCCAGCAAAGAATGGAGGTCCCAATCCATGACAACCCTGAGAAGCAGAGGAGCCCACACGGCTACTGGCCTTTCCCACAAGCATCTAGTGTTGCACCAAAGGGAGGGTTACTGCTCCCTAGTCCGTTGCTACAGAAGCCACCCCAGCATCCACTCCAGTGTCCACAATCTCCCTATGGGGTGGCCTCCCAGAGCCCCGTGCAGTGTATACAGAGTGCACTTCCATACCTAGTAGGACTCAGCCCTTTTCAAGCCTTCCTATCACTGTGACTGTCTGAAATTCTGCCAAGTGCAAAAAGTAATGTCTGGCTCTGATGAGGGTATGAGAAAATGTTTCAGTCTTTTCTGTCTTGGCTGCCAACAATTAAGATCGATGCTTTTCCCAAACACCATCCATCCTGAGCTCCAACCAAGAGAGGCTTGAGTTACACATATGCCTCTCCAAAGATTGCTTGCCCCAAGCCTGGTTTTCCTCCAGTAGGTCTCATCCATGTATTCAGAATTAAATGAAGGGCCATAGGGATGACCCAGCAGAACTGCAGGGCCAGAGTTCCAGAGAGTGGCTTAGCTCTGCACAACCTCTCCAGGTCTGTTCCTTGGCCTCCTCCCCTGAGGCAGTGGCCCCTATGGTATCCCAGGGATGGAGCAGTGTCCTTATTCTTAGGTACTGATCCAACTCAAGTGCTCTTCCTCCAAGGATAGCTGCAGCAGAAGCCATGAATACATTGCCTCTTTCTACCCCCAGCCCAAGCAATGGGCTGGGAGGGTAGACACTTGCCTTTCTGGCCCTAGTGCTCCCTATGGGAGATCACCTGGACCTTATTTAAGTGGCCAAGTCTTGGAGTTCCCCATTCCTATCACCAAAACAGAAAACACAGGATTCAACTGCCTGAAAAGCGGGCACTTCACAGGGAAATGAATACCAAGGCTGCCCCATGCCTTAACCAAAAGCACAATTACTGTAGGCATCACAGCTTCCTACAGTGCAGAGAGCTCTCAGTTACGAAAAGGCTCTGCCCCTCCAGCCATGACTACCCAAGAGAAACAAAGCTTGAACTGGAAACAGGCTCTGGTATTGGTATTCCAAGACTCCTTCCAACCAGCAGAGTAAAGGCACATATGCAATCATGCACTACATATATAGAGAGACACAAGCATAGCATATAGGGTTGTTCATGGCTCAGAGCATGGAGAACAAGGCCAGGTCTTGTCTGGAACAGTGATAAAGAAGCCCAATTCCATTCTGGAAATCCATCCTGAGAACTGTCATTAGGCAGCTCCTTAGTGCAAGCATCCAATAGTGCTCTTACACAAACCACGACAGCTATCACCAGGCAATATAATCTAAGGGACCACCATTGTCCATGCCATCTGTTGTTGGTCGAAATGTCACTATGTGGCACATGACTATTCTGTACTTGGCACTAAAAGGCGAAACAACCTTGATGCCAGAATTTCAGAACACCCTGGCAGCACCTGTAACCATGGCCCCCTATTAACCTGCCATTTACAGTGGTGTCAAATCACCACATCCCCCTTGCCATTTTGGGTTTAATTTGCTCACTGTGTCTCCCCTGGCCCTGGCTATATCCCAGACAATGGAGATCTTAGGTGAACATGATTAGTGTAAGGCTGTTCCCACGGATCAGCCCTGGAATCCGGTGGAGCCGAGCATTCCTCCTGGTGTTGCTTTTTGCCACTGTTTTTGGCAACCTTGAAAAAAAACAATAGGTTACAGAATTCCCACTAGACCAACACTAAAGAAAAGCTGTTCCCTCTGGGCTGCATGCACTAATAACCCAGAGCACAGGGAAGAGGGTCAGGTCTTATCTGGACCATTGAGTAAGAAGCCCAGTTCCAGTCCAGTTTGGAGTGAAAAGGGTTGGCCTCTCCATATCCATAATCAGCAAAGGCCATCAAGTTTAGCCTCCAACCATTAAGGAATATTGTGATCTGTTTCCAGCCAAACAGGTTGGGAGGGAGGCCCCGAGACCCTTCAGTGACTGAGGACCCAAGGCCCTCTGGTTCCTCATGCCCTTCCATGCACTTTTCTGCTGAAGGTAACTTGACAGTAATTAGAGGGGACCAACCCCAAGCCCTGTCTTCCTATCTACCGCTGCATGCTCCTCCCTGTGACTCAGTCTTCACAGTACTCCAAGCAGGAGCTCCCAGAGGCTGGGCACTGCAGAAACCATAATAAAGAGATTGTCATGCTTTTGCTGCGTGTTTCCTGTTGTTTAGGGTCCTCCCGTTTCTCTGTCATTTCCCGTCACTGACCAATTCCTGGTCTGAGTATAAAACAGGACACTGTAGCCTTCAGTCTGTCTTCAGTGGCCATATTCTTAGCAACGTGCGTGCGTGCGTGCGTGTGTGCATGAGAGAGACAGAGAGAGACAGAGAGAGAGAGAGAGAGAGAGAGAGAGAGAGAGAGAGAGAGAGAGAGAGAGAGAGAGAGAGAGAGAGAGAGAGAGAGAGAGAGAGAGAGAGAAAGAGAGACCTATTGCAGTGTGGTCTAGCACCTCCCCTCCCCACTCCTCAGGATGCACAGACGGGAGCTGGCTTGTAACCACACTGCAGAAGTTTCACCACCAGTGCAACTCTTCCACACCTCTCCGCTCTAGGCTTTTCCCATAGGGCAAGGAATGTCCGCCCGACTTGGGAGGTTTGCTGACATCACAGGAGTTCTTATCTCCAGACTCAGGGAAATCGAGCATCAGGATAGCAAAAGGCATAAAAACTAGACTTTTGGCTGATAAGATTGCTTCCGAGAGCAAAGGCACTTGCTGCCTAGCCTAATGACCTGAGTTTGATCCCCATGGCAAATGGAGAGAACTAACTCCCAGATTGTCTTCTGACCTCCGCGTGTCATGGAATGCATGCACACACAAAATAAATAAATATGCGATTTAAAAAAATTAAAACCCTGTATCTCTGTGAAGTTTCCCTTCCCTCCATTCCTAGCTTGAGGTTTAATCCCTGATAGAACCCTGGACTCGCACCAGCTGCCACTTGCTCCCAGGGCTTGCTGGAACTCCACCCCACACAAACTTTTGCCTGTCCTGCTCTGTATATTCCCTCTGTTTCCCAAGAAAGTCATTCCCCAAAGAGAAACATGCTATTCAATTCTCTAAACATCAAGTTAAACCCAGTGTTCACCCCAACTCCACTTTTTCCCCCGAGTTCTGTGGACCTGATTTCGTGAACCTATTTCCCTATCTGTAAAAATCTAGAGAACAGTCCCTGTCATGTCTGTCTTCTAAGCTGATAGAAAAAGCAGAACGAGGCCAGAGAGGGAAGGCGCTGAGTGAGCAGCTAGATTTTGGTTCCCTTTGAAGCTGTGAGTCATCCATTGTCCACCCTCCGGCAATCCCAGGCATAGCTGAGGTCCCGCCAGTGGTCTCTGTCCACAGTGCTGAAGTCAGCCAGCTAGAGACTGAATGTAGAGATTTCCAGAATCAAAGATTGCCGTCAAATTCAGAAAGTATCATCAAAATGCTTTTATTTAACTTATTTCAATTTTTTTCAAAACCATAATAGACCAGAGATGAATCAGCATCTCAGGGGCAAAAAAAAAGAGTTTGTGGTTTTAACTTGGTGTGAGTGATCTATATGAGTTAGCTACCAAAAAAGAAAATGTTTTAAAACTTAATGTAACCTAGGGCTATGTGGAAATAAGTCTATCAGTAAAGGGAGGCAGGCCATCTTGTTCAAGCCTTGGTATGTTCAGCACTCCTGGAACAAGCACAGACTGAAAGTCTTGAATGGCTGGAATCAAACAAGGCAGATAAAAAATAAAAAAACATAAAGGGGACAATGGTAGCACACACCTTTAATCCCAGCATGCTTCTCTTTGGGACAGATGTGAGTGGTGCAGATGGAGGGGCAGATGTGAGTGGTACATGTGGCTGATTTGGCAATGGGGCATATACAGCTGGAGGGGGCTCAAAGACAGGGCATAGAGGAAAGGTGAAAACATAGGACAAGGGTGCTGAGTCTGAGAATGTGATGCCCAGCAAGGTCCTGAGACCTCTTGACAGTCCCAGTCCACATTAGGGGACAGTCTACATTAAAGGTGAGTATTTTACATTAACGGGGGACAGTCCACATTAAGGGTGAGTATTTCACATTAAGGGGGACAGTCCACATTAAGGGTGTGTAGGAGTGAACCCCACAAAGCTATTCACCCAACAGGGCGGGGTCAAGGTAGAGATAAAAGGAAGTGAAAGGAAAAGGGGCTGCCCTTTTTCTCCTGGAAGCCTGGTCTGTGCGACTCTCTCTCTCTCTCTCTCTCTCTCTCTCTCTCTCTCTCTCTCTCTCTCTCTCTCTCTGGTAAATAAATATATTGCTTTCCCTATATAGCATCGAATATCATTATAAGGGTGAGTATTTCACATTAAGCGCCTTCTGGCACCTCCTCAGTCCTTATCCTAGCTGGTCTGAAGATAGATCTGTACGCTCAGGCAGACATATGACTTTAAAGTTTAGGTATCAAAACTAAACTTCTTTAGTTCACTGGTTGGCTCTTTAAAGCTTGCCTTGATAATCTTACATTACCCGCCCTCTGCTGGCCATCACTAGAACTCATCCTAAAGTGAGAAACTACTTTCAAACCCAAAGGTACTGATCACTTTCGGCTTAGTAGTTCAAGATGCCAGGAAGTACCAGAGAGTTAAATCACTGGTCAGTGCTCAGTCAGTGAAAAAGACAATGGGTTCACTTGTCTAGTATTAAAACTAGGGCTTAACTATGTCTATGCCTAGGAAATTAGATGAGGCTGGATTCAAGGGATTCCTTTGTCCAAGATTAAAACCAGAGTCAATGTCTCAAGCAGCTGCCAAAGTTGGAAGTCAGTGTGGGAGCATCCCAATGTTCATATGTCAGCACAAAGCATGTACCAAATGAGATGTTCAGAGTTTGACCACAGGAAGGAGTCAGTCTGCATTCAAAGCAGCATTCCTATGTCCCGGTGACACATCACGTGATGAGTCAGTGACGAGTCAGTGACTGGAGAACTCCACCATGGATGCCACCCAGGGACCAGAAGGGGAGATGAGAAACAGAATTAGGCGGCCTCTAGTTTCTGGAGTTGCTGGCTTTAAAAGCAGTCATGGGGCAGACTGAGGAGCTCCCTTTCTCCTCAGAAGGTGTTGCAGCCCCAGCTTTGTATTAAAGCCTCCTCACACAGCACACTGCCACATACAAATCATAGGTTCAATTTGGGTAAAGGGTCAGCCCAAGAGCCAGAGCTGTCCTGCATAGAGCTGGCAGTCATGGGGGAAGTCTTCTTTGCCTCCAGGATTCTGTTTCTACTAGCAACAGGGCCTGGCATCCTCCCACACCCAGATCTTAGCAACCATGGGAGCCCCTGGCAACTGCTGCCATGGTGACAAGACAGGGAACTAGGAACAGGCAGAGGGGGGAAGCACTTCCTCTGGAGAATTTGGGATGTGTGAGATAGGGGCTCCCCCTCCCATATGCAGTCTGGGAGGGAACATGAGCTCCTGCTTAAACACCTCCTCACTGGCACCCACCCCCACTCCCCTGCCCACAGGTTCCGGTTCCCTCAGGGTGAGGGAATGAGGGACACCTAGGGCTATGACGTCTCCATGAGGAGGGAGGAGAAGCGGGGGTGTTTGGAGCCAGCATGGTCACAGATGCGTACATACACTGGCAGAAATGGTGTCAATAGCCACATCCCTCACTCTTCAGCATGATCACAGATGTGTACATACACTGGCAGAAACGGTGTCACATCCCTCATCACATCCCTCACTCTTCAGCATGATCACAGATGTGTACATACACTGGCAGAAACGGTGTCAATGGCCACATCCCTCACTCTTCGTCACGAGTCACGTGTCTATACAGCCATTCATTTAATCATATATGTGTGCTGATACAAAATCACATACCTATAGCAAGTGCAGAATCAGGCATGCTACACGCAAAAATAATTGTGCAGATACACCCTTACAAATGGGATCCTGATTACAACAGACACATGCATGCGTAGTTGCACTCACACAACCAGATAGCCCTGAACACCAGTAAGAGTTAATTTGATTGAACATTAATCACACGCCAAGTTCCGAATGAAGACTGTTACCTGTATCGTCTTAATTAACCCTCAAAACAGCCCTGTGAGCTCCCACGGTTGCTTGGCCCATTTGCCAAGAGCAAGTGAGTCACAGATGTGGCAAGTGGCCACGCAGTGACCCCAGCACTCCCATCCTTACAGTCTATGCTGTACTGTGAACTCTGGTTCAGATGCCCTGGACAGTAGGACAGAAGGCAGCAGCAGGGATCCAGGAAGACAATGGAGTTTTGGCCCCACTCCTAAGGACACAAACCTAGAGTCCCTGAAGTTCATGACCACGGTTTAGCATTAGTAGAACCAGGTAAAGTCTTGTGACTTAATCTGACCTCTGTGTTAGCTTGCACAAGACCAGGAGCAGCAAGAGCAGACTTAGAATTAGAAAGGAACATGGCAGCCTGGTGTTGGTGGCGCACGCCTTTAATCCCAGCACTTGGGAGGCAGAGGCAGGTGGATCTCTGTGAGTTCGAGGCCAGCCTGGTCTACAAGAGCTAGTTCCAGGACAGCCTCCAAAGCCACAGAGAAGCCCTGTCTCAAAAGAAGAAGGAGGAGGAGTGGGAGGAGGAGCAGAAGAAGAAGAAGAAGAAGAAGAAGAAGAAGAAGAAGAAGAAGAAGAAGAAGAAGAAGAAGAAGAAGAAGAAGAAGAAGAAGAAGAAGAAGAAGAAGAAGAAGAAGAGAGTAAAAACATGGTTAGCCTCTGAAAATAGGGCCCCTCAAATCAGGAGGAAGGGCAGTGAGCGCCCCCAAATCTAGGAGCCAGTACCACTCCCCTCTTCCCACGCTACCCATCTCCATGCCACGATACCCCGTCCTCGTCACTGCCTCTTCCCTTCCTCCTCGTTCTTCCTCCTCTGGTCTCCGTCCCATTTTGTTGCTCCTACAATCTCCACCCTAGCCCATCTCACCCCCTCACTTCCTCTTTGCCTCCCCCCTGCCTTCTGGCCCCTCTCCTGTTCCGGTCCCACCTCCTTCAGCCAGACACCTGTCAGCGCCCATGCTGATCACGGCATCTCCCCTCCCTCATCACTCCTCACCCCACTCCTCCTTTCACCCGAGTTCCTTTCTTACTCTAGACTCAGACCCCTTTCACGCAGCCCATCAGCAAGAGGCAGGTGATTAAG